CTGCCACGGGTCCCCTGGAGGTAAGTGTTTTCCAAGGTTTACCTTCTCTTCTTTTTTCTGCCCACTCCAAGCCATATTCTCTTGGACTTTCTTCTGCAGCCCTCTGGCCAACCTCATCCTCACTAAGCCAATAATTAGTGGACTCTCACAGCCCAGTCCTGGATTCTCCTCCCTTCTTAGTGTGTCCTCTCTCCAGAGGGGAGCTCAGCTACTCCATGACTTAAGCACTGTCAATATGCTGAAAATTCCCAACCTGGTACCTCCACTTGCCTTCTTGGACATTCCACCATTTGAATGGGTCACACTTGAAATTCCCAACCCGAAAGACCGAGAATGCCTGGCAATTGCAATTCTCCCAAGACGTGGTCCTGCCTCCTTGCTAATGGCATCCTCCATTCAACTCCTCGGCTTCCCTCTGTTCTGCAGACACAGGCTGGTCCAGCTGCTGCAGACTGAGCCCCTGCCCCCTGGAATCTTGCAATTACACAACTTTCCACCCCGATCCCTGCTCCCTTCTTGATGGAGACAGCCTTTCCCCAAAGTATGGGCAGCCAGAATTCCAGCATCCTTCACGGCCCAGCTCCAATGCCATTTTCTCCAACAGCCAAGAGTATCCATTACAGAGGGCTCCAAGACCACAAGCCCTTTTGAATGACCTCAGTGAAGGCCAAGGAACCCTAAGCTACACTCGGAGTGATGATGTATCATGTGAACACAGATCCTGAAATGGAGAGACTGTCCCCTGCCCTCGTTAGATCCCAAAAAGCATGCATGTCTTGATGCCCTTTCCCTTTGAAGTCAAGGGGAAACATCCCCAGGCTCACAGCAGGCCGTGGGCCACGGGCCGTGGAGGGGAGCCAGGAGCAGAGCAGTTGGTGGGGAGCTCACCTGGGCCCCAGGACCCCTTCCACCTGCCCTCTCACAGGGCTGAACGGCAAAGAGCAAGTATGACCAAACAGGACCGTTGTTTAATCATTCAATAAATATTCACTGGGTATTCAGCTGCTGGAATTGAAGCAATGACCTAAACAGACAACAATCCCTGCCCTCATGGGGTTTACATTCTCACAGGAAAAAACAAATGATAAAAAAGCAAACATGAAAGTACAGAACAGGTTAGGTGATGACATTTGCCAGGAGAATCAGGGTGATGGGGGTGCTACTTTATTCAGGATGATCAGGGAAGTGACCAGGAGAGCAGAGGCCACATGACCACTTGAGGCAAAGCATTCCACTGCGGGCAGAGGAAACAGCAAGGGCCAAGGGCACTGTGTCAGTTTCCTTCTTTCTGTAACAAAGTACCAACTTGGTGGCTTAAAACAACACACATTATTCCCCTGCTGTTTCAGATGTCAGAAGTCAACAGTGGGTGAGCAGGGCCCTGAGCCTTCTGGAGGCTGTAGGGAAGCATCCGCTTGGCTGCTGTTTCTCGGGGCTGTCCACGTGCCTGGGCTCGCAGCCCGGCATCACTGAGCCCTGCTTCCATCCTTGTGTCTCTTTCTCTGATTCTCCCTCATAAGGACCCCTGGGATTACACTGAGCCTAGCTAGATAATCCTGGGTCATTTCCCCATCTCAAGGTCCCTAATTTAATGCCATCTGCAAAGTACCCTCTGCCATGGAAGGAACACAGTCACAGGCTCTGGGGATTAGGACGTGGACATCTCGGAGGCCATTATTCTGCCAACTCCAAGCACTACAGCGGGAGTCTGCCTGGCAGGTTTGAGGCCTGGCATGTGAAGGGACACCAAGGGGGCCCACGTGGCTGATGCCCTGAGTTAGTGGAAGATCTGCTCCTGGGTCCATGCTGTCCACACACAGCAGGGATTTAGGAGCAAGATAAGAAGCCTGAGAGTAAGGTGTCTAGACGGCAGCACAACTGAGACTCTCACCCAAGTCTTTGCCGCGGGGGGCCGTCTCGTGCGTTGTGGGTTGTTTAGCAGCATCCTTGGGCCCCACCCACTGGATGCCAGCAGCACCCTCTCTCCAGTCTCGAGAACCAAAAACATCCCCTGGGGAGCAAAACCTACTACCCACCCCCCTTAGTGGTTGATGGGATCGAACATATTCTGGAAAGAGCATTTGTCTGGAAAAAAAAAAATGCAGACCTGGCAATTTAAGTAACGAAAAGTCACACACAACTATGTTGGACTGCACCATCAGTGCAGAAGTGCACCCTTCTCACCAGGGAAAAAGCAGGTGACAACTGCGAGAATGTCTTTACCCATGACTCTAATAAAATTTACAAAGAATGATGATACCTCATAATGCTAAGGAGATAAGAAATCAGGGCTGTCAGTTGCCACTGGTGGCAGTGTAAAATGTGTAAGTCATTTTGGAAGATGATTTGGTGGTATCTATTAGAACTTTCAATGTACGTGTCTTTAAGAGCATATATTTCCTTGCTAAGTATCTGTCCAAGGAAACAGCTGTTTCTGCAAGGCCGGAGCCTGAAAATAGATGTGAAAAGGAGAAACTGGAATCATCTAGATGTCCATCCACAGAAGATGGTTATAACCATTATAAAAGGTATGCATCATATACTATATTTAACTACATTGAGCTTCATTTATTTAGATGTTTACACAAAAACTGGAAGGCTTCCCATCATTAATGGTGGGAGGTAGGACTAGAGAGGAGGAAGATGGGAGGGTCTCTGGTGGCTGTGCCTTTGACAAAAACAATGTAATCATGTATTATTTATGTAATAAAAATAAGTAGGAAAACACATGTATATGCAGTACACATGTAAAATGCACGTGTCATGTGTGTACCGAGCTGCACAAGCATACGTGTGCATGGTGCATGTATATATATGTATGTGCGCGGGCACACGCACACACACAACCCCCACAGGGACTTCCTGGGGGTGTCCCCACTCCCAGGCAGAACCACTGGCATCCTCACCTGGTTCTGTTAGCTGTGGGGTAGTTTATCTCCCAGACAGGTTAAAGACCATATGCCTTGATGGCATCACATAAACCACACAATTTCTTTGAAACTCCTGGAACAAGGCAGGTGTTGGGTAGAAGTACAATCTCTCAGCCTCCCAGCAGCTTCTCTGCCCACCACGTGGGATGCAGCTGTTGGGGTCACCCGCACAGAGCAGCCATCAAGAAACCAGGTCACGATGGCCCTGCTAAGACGTCACACTTCTCCAGCACGGAGTGGGGGGCCTTGGCCTCGGCACTAGTGACGTGCACAGTGGATCATCCTCCACTGAGGGCTGTCCTGTGCGCTGCAGGAGGTAGGGCAGCACCTGCCTTCCACCCACTAGATGCCAGGAGCGCCTCCCCCAGAGTTGTCTGGAGACCAACAATGGCTCCAGACATGGCCAGAAGTCCCCTGAGGGATGAAGTCCCGCCATCTCACCCCCGCCAACGTGCTCGTGGGAAAAGGACAGGCAGTGCTCGTGTGAGTGAGCCCAGGTGTCTTTGCCACGCTCCTCTGATTTTAAAAAGCTGCCAATGCAGTTCAGAAAGGCATTTCTGAGCAGCCCCTACTGTCCCACAAAGGTTGACGCGCCAGGGGCAGGACCCTCCTCCAGCACCTGTAGTGATTTCCTAACAAGGTTCTGGTCATCTTGAAATCCTCTTTTCATTGAAAAGATATTGATGAAGTACAGTGTTCTTCCCTGAATAATTTTCTTAAATACTGGACTTTCCACCCAAATATACTAGTCAACATTTAAAAGATTACTCACCGTGTACAGACATCATCTCTAGAAAACAAAGAAATCTCTTGCCGTGGTTGGTAAACGTCACAGCAAAACGCATAACAATTACGTTCTACAGTGTAGCAACTGTCTATTTTCTGCGTTTTAATACAGCACAGCAAATTCCACCACCCACACTGGGCAGCAGAAACATGCCAGAAGGAGCAGAGGACGATGCAGGAGGGACAACGGCGGCTGCAAACACCAGCGAGCTCAAGGGATGGGCCGCGCGGGGCAAGGGGCACCAGAGCGAGGGGACAGGCAGCGCGCTGAACCCACGTGGCGGCAGCCGTGCGGGGGTTTAATGTCCGCCACAAACTCATCACGAAGAGCCGGAAGCACTGGGTAGAAAGGCTCTGAGCGGACAGAAGCCCGTGTCAGTTCAAGCTGGCCCTCTGGCAGTGAGTCATATGATCTGCTTTTGTTGCTATTTTTACATTTGCTAAAAAGGCAAGAAAGCGGATTTCCAGACATCCATGAACAATAAGGGATAATGCGCAGGCCCAACTCTTTAGCTTCCAGAACAGACCCCCTCACTCTGCTTGGCGTTCCACCGCTTCCCCCACCCCGCCACCAAGACAGCAGATCACATATGACTAAAGAAACTTTTTGAAAAAGACAGGCTTCACAGCTTCCTGAAGCACATATTTTGAAATGATTTGGTTTTAAGACTCTTCCCAGAAGGCCCAAAAGAGAGAAAGTCTCTAAAAAGAGGACAGGAAAGCTAGGGCAGGGTCAGAATATTGAAAACAGGCCCGGCGCACAAAATATAGCCGGCCTGTGAGGACAACTTCCCGCCTCTCGCGGCTGAGACTGCAAGGGACAGAGGGAAGGAGGGAGGGAAAGACACATTTTGAAAATGCACAAACAAGGTCAAGGCTCGATTTTCAGAAGGCAGATGATGGACAACACAGGGCAACAGAAATGACTATGTTTCAATTCTCTCGGTCAAGATGAAGCAGATTAGGTACTGCCATCACTTGTTGACCTAATCTTTATTCAACTGTCTTTTAAACCAAGATATGTGGCTTGTTCCATTAACCTGGGTAGTTAGAAGCCACATATATAAAAAACAGTTTTGCTTAAGCTGGTCTAAGGGACTGATGCTCAGTCGGATGGAAGGAAGGGGGGGAGGGAAGGAGGGAGGAAGGGGGGGAAGGGAGGAGAGAGGGAGTTCTGAACTACCCGAGAGGATAAGAAAAGCCGGAAAAGTCTCTATTTTTATTAAATCCTGTCTTTATAACTGTTTGCAATGTTAAGAATTTCACATTTTAAATGCTTCTTACCTCTTTTTGGCTTCCTCATACTGCCAATTAAGCCTGACTCGGTCCACAAGTCTTGTTTTATCATCAAAGACGAACTTTCCAGAACAGAAGAAAGAAAAAACAAAGGGAAACATATTAAAAAGCTATTTTCAAAATAGAAAATTCATTTAAACTTCCAGCAGCAATGAAGAATATTTTAATCTGTCTTCTAATTACCATGTTTCAAAGGTCTGGGAGAAAACACCAAATAACAGCGGCCACCTCTGGTCAGGGGAAGCTGGGAGTCGGGCTGGAAAGACTTGCTTTCCCAACACTGGTGGATTTTTGTTTTAAATCACAGAAGTATATTCATCTATTCACCTATTCCAAACGATGACAACCAATTAAGTTTTCAAAGAAATAGGGAACTACTCAAAGTTTATACAGGGGCAAAAAAATTCATCCCATGCTCTCATTCCTCAGTAAATACAAAGTAATGGCGTTCACCTAACAAGGCACACGATCTGAAGAGGACGGACAAGCTGTGTCAGGCGTGGGCTACAGGACTCCTTCGACTGTTAGGCAGTCCGTTAAAGAACCAAAGGTGAAAGGAAAAAAGGCAAGATCTGGAGAAGCCTGGGGCCGGAGCACATCACCTTAGGAGTCAGAGCTGAAATGCGGTGCTCTGACCTGATCACTACTTGCACCTAAATCCGTTCGTATCAATTACACTGAAGCCACTAAATTCCCAAACAAAACGAACAAGACCTGTAATGGGAGGTGACTGAGGCTCACCCTGATTGCTTCTTCCTTCATTCCTAGAAATATATGACTCTAGTTTCAATAAATCAGCTCCATCTGTAGATCCGGCCTAGGCCATGTATTATGCCCACTAAGTATTTTTTTTTAATGATCTCATGTCAACAAATATTTGAAAATATTCTACTTGAATGATTAGTGATGAATTTTCTAATATGAGTTTTGAGACGGGTCAATGGGAAATTTCTTTATCGTTACTGTTTTGAATGGCAAGAAGAAATGCTTTATAAGGGACTAAGCATTCGCCAAGGAGATGTGTCACAATTTTATACTTCAATAGCCTTATCTGAGGCCCCTTTCCACAGTTTCCTCAGAAGAAATATATTTAAGCTGCTGTGCTTCTGGACACGTGTCTACACTGGAAACGAGCTACTTGTCACCTTGTTTATTAGAGACCCCTAAAGCTGACTCTTCAAGACAAATAAATGTCATTTCTTAAACCCCTTCTCAGTGCTATTTATGGACCTTAGAGCTCTGTTTTTGCACTCTTTGAGAATAAAATGGACATTTCTGCTAAAAAAAAAAAAAAGCAGCACCCTATACAGCCAAGCAGATCCAACAGGTTCCTGCTTCATAGTTCCCAGTAGCCCTGCAGCATGTACCCCAGATGTTAAATGCCAATGTTAGGCTTGTATGGCTTACAAATCTGTGCTGGCAAAGCCGTGGGTGTGAAAAGTATGTTGATTGCATCAACAGCCATCGCACAAAACTAATGCAAAGTGATAAGTACGTGAGGTAGTGGACATCTAAGAAGGCCCCCAATGGCCTCCACCTCCTGGGATGCATCCCATGTGAAATTCCTTCCCTTCGAGTGGGCTGGACCCATGATTTGACTATAAATAGAATACCACAAAGATGACAAGACATCATTTCTGTGATCAGATGACAAAAGGCTGTGACTTCCTTCTTGCTGGAGGCTCTACTGTCTTGCATGCTGTGACAAAGCAAGCTGCCTGCAGTGCTGGAGAGGTCCATATGGTAAGGAACAGAAGCCTTCAGTCCAACAACCTGTGAGGAACTGACTCCTGCCAACAATCTTACGAGCTTGGAAGCAGATCCTTCCCCAGTCAAGCCTTCAGATGAGACTGCAACCCTGGCTGACACCTTGACTGAAGTTTCATGAGAGCCCCTGAAGCAGAGGACCCAGCCTGGACTCCTGACCCACAGCGTGTGAGATAACAAAAGTGTGCTATTTTGAAATGCTAGGTTTGGGGGTGTTTTGTTTTGCAGCAAGAGCTAACTAATACAGTTATAGCCTTTTGATATACTTATCTATAACAATATGATGTAGTAGAAAGCACAGGGGTTTAGGGATCAGAGGCATTGATTCAAACCCAGACCTGCCTCTCCTTAGCTCTATGACCTTAGGTAACCTGGCACCTTGATCCTCTCATCTGTCAAAAGAGGAAGGAAACAACCACTTAAATCAAGGTAACAGCCATGAAGCTGCCAACCCAGGGCCAGCTCCAGTCAACTCATGAACAATGATAATTCACTGCTAACGTTATTATAGCAGTATAGCCAGCCACTCCCCACCTGACATTTGTAGACAGTCTAACCTAAATCATTAGAGAACCTGCAGTCTTACCTGTTTCTCTCAAACTAGTTAAGTCTCTAAAAAATCTAACTCTAACCTTATGTTAAGCAGCAATGGATTATTTATGGAATTCAGTAAGTCTTGTATTTCTTTCCTTCTCTCATGCCAAAATCTTTAGGCAAAAATTCCAGACATTTTTGACTTACAGATTCTTCTCTGTTATAAATCAAAGATACCTGGTCAAAAAATGTCTAAGTGTACTTTTGAGAACAATGAGGGAATACTGAAGATAGGGGAGTTCGGGACATCCAAGACATAGAGTCACTATTTACTATATTATATTCTCTTCAAAGAGGCACTACCTGTCAACATTTTAAAATATTAGCTAATTATTTAAAACCCAGAGTTTTTTAGTCTATGTCTTTTTTTCCCTTTTGTTTCTTTTAATTTTAGGAAGGCATTCTGCATTCCATTGATATTTCATCTTTACTTAATAAGCCCTAAGAAAAAGAAGCCATCCAAACTGTTTTTCTACCTGTAACAAATAAATGTAAAACTTCACTCAGTGACATCACAATAGTAGTGTCTTTAAGTATTCACTACCCTGCTTCAGATGATGATTGGCAACTTTGTTTTTATGGCTAACTCAAGGCTTCACTAATTATCAAAAGGGGCATTATGAAATTCTTCCAATTCCCAAACAAAGTTAATTTCAATTCAATTCAATTTCCTGACATTATTTTTAGAAGAAATAGTATCAAAGTATAACTCAAGGGTGACACAGTCACAAAGCCTTTGAGAATCGCTGGTCTAAGCCAGAGCTCAGCAAACCATGGCTCGCAGGCCAAGCCTGGCCCACCACCTCTTTCTGTAAATAAGGTTTTATTGGAACTTTATTGGAGCAAGCCCCATCCACTTGTTCACATACCACCGAAGGCTGCTTTCACACTTCAACACAGCTGAGTAGGCAGACGCTGCGTGGCCAGCAAGGCCTAAAATACTTACTATCTGGACTTTTGCAGAAAAAATTCGCTGATCCCACACTCTAAAAAGTCATACATCTGCCAAAAAACACATCCAAACTCAACTCTCAAATGGATTCTGCCATTTATAAGATTCCAAATCACAAGGACAGAGGTAATAAGCTATTCAATTGCATCCTAGGCCACTGAAACTTCCAGACAGCTGGATGTAAGAAACAATATTTTTTCTTTAAAATTAATGGCACAAAAGCCAAAACGTTTTTGAAGAAAGGTGGAAAATGAAAACAAATGAGTGTTGGCCACATGAAAGCAGCCCTCTTGCCACGTGGCACACTCGGTTCTCCCCCTGGCTGAGCGTACCTCTCCGATGATGTCGGTCTGAGACCCAGCGTCGCAGAACTGCTGAGGTAAGGAATCACCTGGATTGTGAGGGAACTCTTGCAGGGGCTCCGTAAGAGAAAAGCTGTTCTTGAAGCCATCGGTAAGCTTGGCCAGGCTCTGGAAGAGAATGAAACAAGTGACTTGAACAGTGATGGAAATGCTTCTCCTCCCTTTAAAAGCAGTCACTGCTTGCCTGTTCCAGGTCGCAGCTTCATTACCGGAGAGCTGGCCCACCCCGACCCCCATTCTCATCAGATTTAAAACAGAGGTCTATCACCATAAGCACCTTTCAATCAAATTCTTAGTACTTTAAATCAGACAGCAACTGAGTCCTCCCGGCAGCATGTGAGCAACACAGAGAACAACTGTGGTACCATTTTTACTGTTTTTTAAACCTTGTGTTTCCTAAAGAAAAAAATTAACATTCCCCCCAAAGAAGCCAAATTCAGAGAACGGGGTAGAATGGTGGATGCCAGGGGCCGGAGAAATGGGGATATGTTGGTCAAAGGGTACAAAGTCCCACGTGTAAGTGGAATCAGTTCCCAGGATTGAATGTTCACAGGACGGTAAGTAAACGATGCTATATGGCATATTTCAAAGTTGCTGAGAGAGTAGATCTGAAAAGTCCTCACCACACAAAAAGAAAGGTAACCACGTGAGGTGATGGACGTGTTAACTAACTTTATTATGGTAATCATTTCACAATAGATATGTCTATCAAATCATGACGTACACCTTAAATTTATACAGTTTTATTTGTCAACTATACCTCCATGAAGCTGGGGGGGGCACTCCCATCCAAAATGTTCCATCAATAAATAAGTCTGACAGAGATGAATGCTACCTTAAGATCTTTAAAACCACACAGCAGGTGAAAAAACAGCTCCCAGACGATGTTTACAGATTTTTATAACCTGATGTTTCAGTCATAATTCTACATGATCAAAAGTCATCTTATATGGATGTTAGTTTGCCAAAAATCAGAGTAAGTATGAATTCTGGCACGTGGAGCCCCTCTGGTGCAAGCTAAAGGGAAATGAGATTTTCTCCGACCTGTGAATGCATGTCTTCGGCAGCTGTCTCTGCAGACACTAGGGCGCCCGGCACAGCCTAGCTCACGGAGCTGGCTCTGGACCCAGACTAAGGCATCCTGGAATGGGCCAATATTATGGTCAGGTAAGAAAGACAAAACAACTCATTTGATTTAACTAGGAGAAGACATTGCCTGTGCCTCTCCCTGGAGCGTCTCAGAGAAGATGCTGGGGCCTGAAGCTTCTGCCAGAAATTCTATCTCCAGCCTTCATGGGGAGAGCCCACTTGAGGCAACCAGTGGCTTGCTCCGCTCTGCAAGCTCAGAAAGAACAGGGCAGGGAGGCCAGCTCAACCTCCTAGGGCGAGGCCTCCGTGCCCCGTGGTGAAATACCACCTGGCTCACCCCTGGGGTTCAGGCTTAGACGACTCGAGTGACCTCCAAAGAGCGCCTTGTCCAACACTGCGCACGGAGGCCTCAACAGACAGCGGCTACTCCCCTGGCTACCAGCGCTTCGGGAAGATCTAACCATTGACCTTCAACTCTCATGGCCTGGAAATAAGGGCATCTGAAAATACAGATTTCTGGGTGCCACCTCCAGAGCGTCTAACCCAGCAGACCCAGGGTAGGGATGGTAATCTGCAATTCAGCGAGCGCCAGGGGCCACTCTGGGGTCTGGCGTCCCGGTGGTCAGGAAGCGCTGCTGCGAGACGAAGTGACACGTGCGCCTGTCTCACGTGGCCTCTGAGTCTGAGCGTTGCTTCCCATGTCCTTCTGTGTCTTACATGCTGCAGAATTGAGACACATGCCTACCAGCGCCAGGGGCTCAGTCACTGTGCTAGCCAGGCCCAGAAGGAGAGCCACGACAGACAGCATCAGCCGCATGTCAGCAGGGTGCACGGGCCCAGTGTGCGTCCCTCTGCAGACGCTCGGCTGCTTCTAAAAAAACCGAAACTATGGGAGTTCAAGGGGCAAAAAAACTAAGCAATATAAAGTGACAATGAAAAAAAAAATCTATCCACAGAAAAGAGGCAGCTAAAAAAAAAAAAGGAAGGAGGCAGCTCTGTGGGTAGAGAGATGGGGAAAGGTACAGGGTGTCATCGGCGACAGGGGGAGCTGCCCCAGGACAGCAGGCACAGGCCAAGCTTTCTGTGAGGGCAGCCAGACTGCTGTTCATACTCTGACATGTCCGCATAAACCCTGGAAGCGGGTACAAGAAGCTAATAAGAGTAGTTACAGGAGAGGAGAGAATAGGGTAACAGAAAGACGCTCGTGATAGTTTTTTGAATTATTCTGATTGTTAAATAATATGAATGTCTCACCCATTGTTGTGGCTTCAACTGTGTCCACCAAAAACAAATGTTTAAGTTCCCACCCCCGGAACCTGGAAATGTGTGCTTCTGTGGAAGGAAAGTCTGCAGATGGAATTAAGATGAGGTCACAGTGGATTCAAGTGGGTTCTAATCAATGATTGGTGTCGTTATAAGAAGAGAAAATGTATAAGCAGAGTCACGGGGAGAACCATGTGACGATCAAGACAGAGACTGGTGCAATGCACGTACAAGCCAAGGATGGCCAGCAGCCCCCAGGAGCGGGAAGAGTACAGAAGGAGCCTCCCCTAGAGCCGACAGAGAGAGCCCACACCCACCCGCACCTTGATTTCGGACTTCTGTTCTCCAGATTCTGTGAGAATAAATTCCTGTTGTTCTAAGCCACCTGGCTTGTGGTTCTTTGTTACAGCAGCCCTAGGGAACTAATACGTGTATTGTGTATAGTTACAGATGTATATACGTACACATACATATATCATATATACACACATATATACATGTATGTCTTTAAAATATGTATGATTATATACATAATAAGCATATAATATATAGAGTAAATAAACATACATTTTTAAGTTTTAAATAAGAGACAAACAAGCATGTGGGTGGACACATGGACACGGGCTCTGAGGAGCAGCAGGGCATCTTACTTGCATCAGGTCCCGTCTCTCCTTCTCGCCTGTATAAATGGCCTTCTTGATGGTCCTGAGCTCACTCATTATAGCCTGTGCCTCATCCAGTTTGTAGTTGGTGTGAGCACTTGACATCTTACGATCAATCCTGGTTAAAAAAAAGAAATATAAGTCATTCTGTGCAAGATTATAACATTCCATTGCACAACAATAACAAAAAACTCAAAAGCTTCACAGAAAGATGGGAAACAATTAAAAACAACGTTTTGGCGGAGAAAAATAAAGATCCCCTAAAACCTTCCTTGTTTGTGCTGAACACAAAGAGACAGGACTCGGCGGGCAGCCGGCTCCCTCGGCGCCAGGAGCATCCTATGTGGGCGAGGACGGTCCAGGCAGGATTCCCGTGTCCTCTACCAACGACTAAGCAACAAGATCACTGGCTTAATAATTTCCTGAGATTTTAAACTTCCTTCTCTGAGAGGAAGATCATGTCTTAGTTTATCCCCAGCATCTGGGTTAGTGGTCCAAAATGTCTATTAAATAAACATAAGAATGAAACCTGTGTGCAAGAAGAAACAGCAAAAAGCGGTGAACTCTCCATAGTGACGCCTCATACAAAAGTCAGAAATTCTTACGGCTCCTCTATTTTTCTTTCCTTCTGGTTCTAATTTATCACTCTCTTGACCACTCACCTCCACCATTCTTTTCTTCAGTCCAAGTATCTATTTGTCCTTCCTTCATTCCACTCATTCAAACTAACTTCCTTCCACCCACCCCTCCGCCCAGGCAGCCCCGGCCGTGCGCAAGAGGCCTGGTTCTGGGTGGTGGGAGCAGAGCACTGACCCAGGCGAGGCTTGGCTCCGGCCTTCCCAGAGCAGGCAGGCCCCTGCAGCACGTTCTTGGCTGCATCTTCCACACCTAAGTCTTAGGCCTTGGAAGCCCTCAGGGCTGAAGATACTCTGGTCCAGAAACAGAATGAACTCCTTTTCTGGAAAGCCATTAGCTCGCATTTCATGTTCCAGATTCACCGTTACAGAGGTTTGGGTTCTGAACTGTTTCCCCCATGTTACCTGAAAATCCGATCCTTAACAGCCAGCCCAAACTCTCTTATTTTCCACTCACAAAAGCATCCTGGAATGCCGGTGCGTATGAGTGACACTCCAGCTCTACAGTGGGACCCTGGGCAAGTCACTTCACCTCTTTAAATCTCAGTTTCCCCATGCCTCAAATGGGGACACTAAAGATGTTTCTCCCATTTAGTGAGAAAACGTAAGAAAAGAGCTTACTTAGCAGAGGCCTGGCCTGCAATGTCTGCGGTGATTATTATTATCAGGATAATGCTGAGTCTACTTACTCACGGGAGAAAAATTAAACAATTCACCAACTCCAGTACTTTACTATCAGTAATAAATTCCTGGCCACATATGTCATAACTCACGGCAAAACTCAGCACCAGAGCTGATCTGAGCTATCAGCACCAATGGAATGAGAAAAGGACAAATAAAACAAGCAGGGAACCATTCCCTCTCCCTTGGAACAGAGCTTCAGGGCTCGACAGCACTGCTACGAATGCCATCAGCTACAAATAAAATATTTATGACAACTGGTCCTGATTCCTCTTCCTTGGAGAGCAGCTACAGATGCACCGTGGGCCCCCACACATGGAATGGTGCCACCCCTACATCCCAACACAGCCTGGCCATGTGGTTTTCCATCTTAGCCGTTTTATGGAGAACCAAGAGTCTCTAATGTGAGGCAGAAACACAGGCCATCCATCTCACAGCACTACATCTGCCAAGGAAGTAGCCCAAAGCTTCTTACAGAGAAAATCTAGACTCATTTATGTAATAATGTCACCTTGCATCCATCTTCTGACAAAAGGCTTTCCAATACACCATATTTAGTGTCACAAACCACAACCCCCATAGGCTGATAAAGTCTTCAAAAAAGGGTTATGTCACTTCCATACAAAAAACCCGAGGCCAGAAAAGTCTCGTTTCTCTGTAATAGTCAATGAGACCTCTGTGAACCAGGTCTACTGGCTCCTCCAGAATGAAAAATACAGCAAATGGATCATCCCGAGAATGACACCATGTAGAAAAATGAAACTCTGCTGCATTGAACAAAAAAATTTTCAATCACCTGAAAACCAATGCCAACCAAATAGTCACAAAAGTACAGACACACAGCACTGTCAAGGCTGCAGTGTGAGACGAGAACCAGGTCAGCTCCAGCTCTGGATTAGGTGCTGTGATTTCCTTATGGCTTTGAGCAGCCTCAGAGCCTGAGCGCAGCTGTCAGCAAAGCCAGGGATGGAGCCAGCTGCCTGTCGAGGCACGGGCATCTGGAAAGGGAACGGCTGCCACATGGAGGAAAACAGGCCGATTCCCAACAGGGAGAGGGACCAGCAAGGCCATGATGCACTTCGTTGGTGGCCACCGCAGAGCGCCAAGGAGAACGGAAGTTCACCTTCAAGGCCACAGACCTGGGCAGAAACGTTCTGTTGGCCAAGCTGTGGGAAGAGGAACATTCATCTATGCGTGGTGAGGATGCAACACGGCGCTGCCTCTCCCAAGGACAACCTGGAGATATCTAAGGATACGACCAAGGCCGTTACCCTGTGACCCAGCAAACTCACCTTTGAGAACTTCTCCTGAAATCTTTCGTGTCTACCCGTGCACAGCATTAGGTGAAAAGCTGATGGGAAATGTTGTAAATGGATGTATCAGGCCAACAACACCAGAACCCACTGATAACCTCCACACCGCAAAAAGAGACAGCCAGAGACGAGGTACCACCACTACCTACGAAACAAACTTAACTCCCCAAAAGGAAAAGAAAAGGAAACTGAACTTGAGTCCGATCACGCCTCTTGGATTAGTGACACCAGCTGCACAGAGAGCCGGGGAAGAGCACGTTTCATGACACCATGCACGTTCCAGCAACAATACCCAGTATCAGCGCAAGTCCATGGGACGGGCGGACTAGCCTCTGCAACAAGTAACTTGTTGGAAGAAAGAAGAAAAGAAAAAAGGAGAGTGGGGGAGAAATTAAGAGACACACTAACCAGATGTACTGTGTGGACCTTGTCTGAAACTGGACCCGAACAAACCAAAGAAATAGGAAAAACTGCTGGAGAGGGGACGACATTAAGAGATTACTTTTAGGTGCCACAGGTATTACAGTTATGTTTTCAAAAGGAGCCCATACCTTTACGAGAGATATTTATGGATTAAATACGATTCTGGGATTCACTTCAATAACACAATAAGGGCTTGGGAATGAGGCTAAGTGACTGAAAACAAGACTGGCCATCGTGTGGTTAGCTGTTGAAGTGCAGTGAGGGCCCCAGGAAGGATCCATCATACTCTTTTCTCTACTTCTGTGTATGTTTGATATTTTTCATCATTAGAAGTTTATATATATTATACACGCACACACGTACAAATCTATCCTTAACCCAGAGACTGCGTTCACAGCCAGCTCCCATCTACAGAAATTAACAACATACACAGACTTAAAAAAAATACAAAAGGTTCTTTTTCCCTCACTTGGACCCAAGCGTAATGATGGATTTCCTTGCTAGCCAGGAACGTTCCCCAAGATAAACAAGTTGAGTTTAAAATGTTTTAAGTAGCCAAACTCTTGGTGAGGTGCTCTGGAAAAAATACACGGGAGGTTCTGGGAAGCAAGAACAGCAGAAAATTTTCTGGAGGAAAGTCATTTTAAGAATGCCTTAGACCAATGTTGGTAACAGTACAATGACGTACAATGGTTCATGCATTATCTGTGCTTAGAGTTAGGATTTTACAGGAGGGGTAGGGTAGTCACACTGCCCATGCTTACAAAAGCTTTTCCAAATTTCTCAATAAATAATAGCAATCGGCATGATTCGATCCAAACGTGAGAGCCAATCTTCAATATCAGAAAACTAAAGAGGCTGTTTTCATCCCATACATGGCCTGTGTGACTCAGAGGAAGGTGGCAGACTGCTTCTCACCTGCAAAGCATTTTAAGCCCAGCATTAGTCCCCGTGTTTCCTCTCCTCCCTGTGAGGCTGTCACAGCACAGAGTGAACATGTGCAGTGACAACACAGCAGCCCACCAAACGCCGCCTCGCAAGGCAGCTCCATCTGGAAAGCTGGGGTGGGTCCCCCAAGAACAAAGCCAGGTCCAGAACCCTCCTCTCGGGCCACTCCTCAGCCTCCACTGGGGAGGGCGGGCACCCCCAGGCTCTAGCAGAGAGTGAGGATTGTCCCCTAAATATAAAATAAAGATCTTCTATGCTGTACACCCAAAATAAATACAACACTGTAAACTGACTATACTTCGATTTAAAAAAATAGTAATAAAGTGAACTGCATGCAAACAATAAATAAAATAAAACGAAATAAAACAAACAAACAAAAGGTCTTGTTTCCCAAGTATTTCCATTTAAAGAAATGAAGTATCTTCAGGGAAAAGAGAGATCTGATGTTTAGCTGACAAATAACGAGCACAAATGAAAGCATAAAAGCGAACACCCATGAAGCTTTAGGACACGTGTCCTGGCACCAAACAGGTCAGTACAACAGGAAACCACAGGGGACCTCTCCCTCTGACACTGCAGGCCACTCACTCTTGCAGGGTCTCCACCCCCTTTTCCTTGTACTGCAGTTCTTGCTTCATCTGGGTCAGCTCTCGTTTTAATCTGGAAAGCTGAAAGACAAATGACATGTTTTTTTTCCAAAAACCATCTGTGAAAAATGATTTCTACGGTTGTCAGCATTGTCATCTAAGTTTCTAATCAGCTTGCAATTGACTGGATCAACCATCCCCTCCATGAACTTCCATTCATGGGCATGTAACCCAGCCTCGGTGGAAGAGCTGGCTCCCCCAGATACACAAGTCCAGGATCACTTACAGGCCTCTACCCACCTGGAGCCCTGGAACCGGCAGCGATGCTCCTTTCCAAGGTACTGATTTACACACTGCAATGAGCAACCCTGTTCATACTTTTTTCATCCTCCCTTCTACTCACTCCCCATAGATCCCACATGAGAAACATGGCTGCTCAAAGCGTGGCTTCCCACTACCTGAAAGTCACCTGGAGGGCTTATTTAAACAGATTCTGGGACCCACTGCAGGCCTGTGTTAAAGCTCAGGGGGTGGGCCTGGAGCTCACACTCTGAACCGACTCCCCAGGTGTTTTTTGTAGGTGTGTCAGAATTTGAGAACTGCCACACTAATAAAAGAAACATTCTGGTTTAGGGACTGAGACACCAGAAGATGCAGCCTCGTCTCCAAGACGTCTCCCGTGCTTTGCTACAAATGCAACAAACTGTTCCCCCTCCCAGACACCCAAGGGGCGGAAGGGATGAAACAAGGTGGCATGTAAAGAGCCAGCGTCACTGGGAAGGAGCATCAGAATCTTCAGGTTAAACGCCACCGCAGGCAAGGCTTCTCTGGGAATACAGCAACCAGGTAAGGCAGCAGACGTTAAAGATGCTGAGGGTCGGGGCTGGCATCCCGCTGATACAGGGAAGTGGACCTTTGAGGCCGGGCCCTGATGTCACCCAGTCTTTCCAAATGGGGGTTGAGTGTAGCCCCAGGAAACACACAGAGGGATACAGGTAATTTTTGTTAGATTGGCTGACACTTTAAAATGAATCTTTTCCCCTCCTACTGGGAAAGAAGTGGAAAGTAAAACCAAATGTAGTAATTCCTGAAACTGAAAATCTTAACTAAAACGGGTATGTTAGAGACCTTGATCATCAGAAAACAAACCGTGATAAGTGGTGTTACATAAAAACACACGCGGGCTTCTAGGTGTGAAAAGATTCATTTTACTCACCCTATCCCGACGACTTGCTATTTCTGCTTTAATTTGGTATGGGTCGTACTTTGTATTTGCTGAATATCCAGAGAAGCCTAAACAGAAGAAAAAGATTTTACAATGGATACTTTAAAATAAATAAATACACACAGAGAGGATCTTCTGATTCACCGTATTAAGTAATCAATTCTAAGTCTGAGATTTGCAAGTTGGCACTGGCTCCTCAAGAACTGACATTTCACAACCTCAAGTCTTGATGTTTGATTTTTATATGAGGCCTTTCTACGTGAATCCACATAATAAAATATATGGCTGTAGGTAAATCAAAACTCTGTTTATTTCAACTGCAAAACAACCAGGGTTAAAAACCATATATACATGGGGGGAAGGGGGAGGTTGGGGGAGGTATGGTTATAGTATAGAAAACTGTTCTTATTATGTAAATAGTACATATGGTACAAATCCATTTTTATTTCTTTTTAAAATGCACACACACACAAGGAAGTCACTGGAAGGAGAGAACCCCAAAGTTGACTGGGGTTATTCTAATGGTTTCATTACAAAAGATTTTACTTTCTTCATATCAATATTCTCCACATAAGTGATTTCTGACATAAGAAAGAAAAAATACTAAAGATCAGTAGAATGGAAAAGATGATTTCTAGTAACGTGTTGGTATCTGGCAGGCTCGAGGAAAAGCTTCTTTTCCACGCTGTCGGTTCCCCGAAAGCTGAAGCGAAGCACCCACGCTTTTGTTCCAGCAGCTTGTTTTTGATGGGTGTTTAGCTAAGTCACATCACGTAGCTAAATGCTTCCTTCAGCAGTGCAGCACGCGATTTAAGGTCTTTAAACAGACACAGCATCGTTATCACAAGCGGCCAGTAACCGGGAGTGGATAAGACACGCACAGCTGTCCAGCTGTAGGTTAAGCACAGTCAGCCAAGCCTTTTCTGGTGTCTCAGCAACTGGAGCAGCCCACGGCCGTCTCTCATTTCTAGCACCCCATTCACGCTCCACAACGCTTTTTCTTGATGCTTCTGTCTCCTTTCTCATAGGCCTCTAAGCCGCAGTGACCTGGTTCCTATCCCTTCCTGAGCTGTGGAGGCTCCTCTGCCCTCATCTGTGAGTCAGCCCACACTGGTGTCATCTGCCTCCGGATCACTTTCAGTAACTGCACCTGCTCCGAAGACCCATCTGCAGGGCCAGTACCTGTTCTTCTGCTCCTCTGATCTGGGTACCGAAGGCCATCATTCAGGTAACTAGGTGCCAACACCTAGAAGCTAGTTTATAATCATCTCCTGATTTTGTATTGGAGAAGATGGCTCAAAGCCATTCAGTGGTTTAAACAGCAACATTATTTAATGTCCTCAAATAGAACCACATTCAAAGTTCATCAGAGCTGCTCAGATACCTCCTTTAAAAAAAAAAAGTCCTATGGAAAATCTATTTAAGGCCCCCTCAGTCAGAATTTCAAATTACTAGAATCTACTGGAAATAAATATCTGGAGGAGCTACGTGTTTGCCAACTTTATCTCAAATGTTCTTATATTTAGAATTGTAATCTCTCAAAGACATGGAGTAAAATGTTTTTAAAATAGAATTCTTTCTTAGATGAAGAATGTCTATTTCCAAATCCCACAAAGTCCATCTTGTCTGACTCTCTGGTTTCATTTAAGACCGGTAATAAAAGCAACACCTCAAACAATGCCCTTAAGAGGCAGAAATTATTTCTATAAAATTTCCACATTCAACTCCTGGGACTTAGTTTCTCAGGCCTGAGTTTCAGGGGCTTCCACTCAGGGCCCAGGTGACATGCAAATGAGCCTAGGGCTTGCTGACTCTTCACTTCCACGTGTATCCACTTGTCATGGTGCAGCTGAGGAAGACAATGCCAACAGTCATTGCCTGCGCTCTTTCCCACTCCAGGTATAAAAGTAACTCCGCCACCAAAGTCCAGAGAAGTTAACTGCAATGTTAAACATCAGTGACAATGATCTGAAATCGTTGCCGGAACTCTGTGTATGTGCAATTTCACAGGGGAAACTAGCAAAGGAAGTCGAAATGAATGCGAGAGGTGTAGTGGGGACAGATGGACAGACTCATGGCAAGCTGCCCTGAGTTCTCGTGGGTAACTAACAGAACCCTGAGGCGGTCGGGCATCCGCCCCTACCCTAGGACACTCAGCCTCGACCCAGTCCTGGAGGGGGAGCCTGATAACCCAGGACATCACTGAGCTGCCACCACTGAGTCCACCAATGGGGAGGCTCGCCCCACCTCTGGAGGATATTGTGAGGTGACAAAGGCTGTCCTCCTGGTCTGGGCCCAGGGGAGTGAGTCCTCTGTACTCACAGCTGAAACCATCCTAAAATGATAAAAGAGGTTTTACTTATTGATTCCATTCATGATACCTCTGCTACCGTTTCTAAAATTATAAAATTCGAGGACTGGGATGAGGCAAAAGGCAACTCAAGTACCTAAGACAGTGAGTACCTTTTATCTTCAAATGCTAAGGAGAGTGAGAAACACTGGCATGACTTTTAACAATAGAATTCAGTTTATAAAGACAAATTCTCAGTTCCTATGTCTGCCAGTAAGTCTAACGGAACTCATTTGTGGAGTCCCAGGAACAGCTCAGGACTCTAGACCCCGTTTTTAATGGCATGTGTACCACAACATTTAGAAAAAGAAACGTCTTCCTCTGTGAAGACACGTCTCCCATCTCAAGGTTTAAGACAAATACCAGACCTTCATCTCTGAAGCTTTCTTCTCGCTTGAAGAGTTCGAGTGGGCAGAGCTTTTAAATAGCTTAAGGCGTCCACTCAGGCAGACAGCATTGTTTTGGATGATATAATAATAAGGTCATAGCTTAGCTGGACCACAACAATGTAAATTACTAAACCTTGCTATTATAGCGTACCTTTCACATTTATTTCATCTAGTCTCACAAAAATCTTTGGCAGAGATCATGATCACGTTTCCCCACTTTATAGATTACGGCTGAGTTTGCAATGACTTGACCTACACTGTGCCATCAGTCAAAGAGGGACTTCTGTCTAGAACTTGGGCTCCTGTGGGTCAGATTAGCTTTTCCAGTGTAAGAAGAAATGGCCCGCCAGCTCCCCGTGCCCGACAGGTGAAGGTGATCTGTGTATTTAGCACTCAGAATGCTGCAGACCCCAGTAATCACTTTGGATGAGATTTTATGGGTTATTGAAAGGAGAAATGTGTATGTCCACGTGTCCTCTGTCTCTGTCTCCTTCTCTCACACAGGCCTCCTCTGTGCCTTGAGAACCTGAGATCCCCCCAGGGGGGTGACATGCTTTACAAGACCAGTAGTCCCTCTCCAAAAACATCCCCTGGGCAGATGGCTCCTCAGGACCAGGTATGCGCCTCCAGGCATCAGCTCTGTAGGGAGCTGCTCGAGGGAGCCCAGGAGGACTCCGGCAGAAAGGACAGCAAGCCCTGACAGTTTCCATGCTGACAGGTACTAATTAGCAGAGCTGCGACCAAGGTAGGCATATAAATAACCAAGGCCAACAAAAGAGGGCGTGACTTCTTTTTTAAAGGCACCATAGGCCAAGGAACAAAAATATTAAACTAGCCCACTCAGAGGTAACCTGAAGAAGTGACACAAGAGGCCACCAACCCAAACCAAGAACTCTCTCTCGAGGATGGGCGAGGAGGTGCGGTAGACACGTGCACTCTGCTGCGACTGTCAAGACGGAGTCGCCCCCAAGTACCTGGGGAAATGCTGCGCGCACCGTTTCCACCACCTCCCACCCCCCGCCTGCTCCAACGTGCTTGCGTGAAGCACGAGAGGTGGCTGACCGAGGGCCTGCGGCCCTTATCCTACGCCAGACACTAGATGAGAACCCTTCACCAGAGAAACAATGGGAGATGACAGTCTTTGTGCACTGGACTTGGGGCCTCAGCAAGAATGCTGGCAGGACTGAGGACTGGTAAGGTCAAGCTTCCCCACCACCTCTCCCAGGAACGCAGCGTGGGCCAGTGCTTTCTCACCCGAGACAAGGCCCACTCTCTCCCAGCCACCGAAAGAGACTCTGGGGGCAGACTTCTAGGAGCTCCTCGGAGCCAGGGTAACAAACAAAGTCCTATTCCTGCTGCTGCCGGAAGGAAGGGTCACAATCAACCTGGACAAGTGGATCTCAACTCTGAGAACCACCTGGGGAGCTTTAAAAAAAAAAGGGTGAGGGGAGCCTGGCCCCACCCAAAGCCATTAAATCAAAATCTCTAGGGGTGGGAGTGGGGTCCAGGCAGTCAGAGTTTTTAAAACCCCTTCAGGAGATTCCTCTAGTGCAGCCAGGGTGAGAACCACTGGTGCAGATTCTTCTACAAAGGAGCAGATAGTCAATATTTTTGGCTTTGTGGGCCATATGTCCCTGTCCCAGTTCCTCAGCTCTGCCACTGTGGCTGTTAAATCGGTGAGTGGACGTGGCTATGTTCCAACAGAAGTTTATTTACAAACAGCCAGGGCGGACAGGATTCAGCCTGTGGGTCATAATTTGCTGACTTGTGGTTCAGACTATAATTTACCCCAAGCAAGAATTCCTTCCAAAATATCCTGCAGATGGTCATGTACTTCGTCTCAATGCACCGGGAGGCTAGAGTTTCTCAGGAAGAATGAAAGAGTAACTCCAGAAAAAAAAATTTCTGAAATAACAAATGTCTTCAGTGTTAAAAAGAAGGCAAACAGAAGAACACTGCAATGGAGGAAGCGGGAGAAAACGCTACAAAATGGAGCTGGAGAGGAAGCAGTGGGTGTGTCTCAGAGAGAAGGCTCCCACCGCAGAGAAGCTCCATCTCGGTGTGCTACAAAGCATAAAGCGGGGCTGGGTAGCATGCAGCTAGCTCACAAGCCCACAGGAATAAAGCAGATTTGGGTTCTTAGTCTCATGGGGATGTGTGTGCTCAAATCCAGCAAAGCATGAGTTTGCTTTGGTCAGAGACAACAAAGGTTAAGGCCTGGTATTCTCAGATGCCAGATGGCCCAATACTGACACAAAACCTTTCCTCTCCAGTGAATAGAGCTTTATTCCGGTGATTTCCATGACTTGGGGGGAAATCTGTACAGGGTATGGAAGAGGTCCCCTCCTCCTGTGATCTCCCCATATCCTGCTCCAATATTAGAAATGGCTGTTCTAGTCAATTCCTCTGCCTCACTTTCCCCTACAATCAGCCATGAGGGATAAATCATGTCCCCAGCATTTAGTATATATCAACACCAGGTGCTAAATAAATATCTGTTGAAAACTAAATGAACAGTTTAGCAATCCTACTATGGGCCATAAAGAAGTCAGAAGTAGAAAGTGCTCTGCCCTCCACGTGCCCCTTTCAGTGTTGTGTAATTGCCAGATGACCTGTCAATTTATAATTGGACCTTATTTCCAGGTAACTTGAACAATGGGAAGGCATGGTGTTCCAAAACCATGATCAGTTCTTCTGAGCTACCTCGTCCATGTCTCAGAATAGTACACAGCCCTGAAGACTATGTACACAAACAGATCTGGGTTCAAATCCAAGGTCTACCACTTATAGAGTACGGAGCCCTGAAGAACTAATTTAGCCCACTCAATACTGTTTCTTGTGGATACCCCAAACATAACATCACAGTGTTAACAGTGCTTCATGATGTGGCAACCACAATAATGCTGAGAAAACACCAGCCCATTCCACATGGGTTCCTTTCACTTCGAGTCATTGCCAATGAAGGAAATCATGGGAAATAAGTCCAGATATCATTGTTTCCAGTACCAGAGCAAGAAAACACCTCTTTGCTTTAGATGACTAGCAATGACAGTGATCTGGGCTGTGTGAGGCCCATGGGGTCAGCTGGAGTCCAGGTGTGCTATGAATCCTGCCACCAGCAGCTCCTGATGGGGGCCCAGGCCTCTGGAGCAGACATCTGTTAGAGCACAATGATTCGAGCCAGCCGGATCACTGTCTTGAACTTTAGCCTGTGGCCAGAAATAGTTCATTTGAGTCGTATCTAACAGAGTCTTCCTTGATGGAGTTCAGGTTAAACAGCAAATTCAAAGAGTTTGTCAAAACCCAAGGGACAGCAGCCTATAAACTGCCTGGATTAATTCCTAGACTCCATTCATAGTCTTTTTCCCTGATGAGATAGGCTCCAGCAAGATCCACTGGCATCTCCAGCCCTTCATGAAAACAGGGAGGCCCCATGTGGCCTCCGAGGCCACCTACAGGAGTAGATGCAGAGATGGTATCTACGCAGGGACCTCTGGTGGGTCGGGGAGTGGAGTTTGATGAGCACATTAAAATCTCAAGTCAACATACAGAGTCATCATCTTCCTCTAATCAAGGTTTCTTCATACAGGACTTCACAGACAGCACCTTGAGTATTTCTTTTTTACTGGGCATTAATAAAATTCTATGGCACACAGGAAGGAATGAAATTGAGTCCAATTCCCTATTTGCCCAAATGTCAAGGGAGTAAAAAGCCCACGGAAGTACAAAAACAGATGTTGAGGGATGTCCCAGCTCCACAGGATGACCAATCCTGAACACCCCTACCCTCTAGGCTTGGCATTGCCATGGGACCCCACCTCTCACCCCCTCGGGCTGGGTATAGAATCCAACAGGCTGTAACTAGGTCCTCCTATATTAGCATCCTGAGCAGCTCCAGTCCCGAGTCCCCATGCTCACTGCAACTCAAGTCCGGGCTGCACCAGTATAGGAACCAGTATATAAAACACATCTTCTCTTGACGAAATTTTTCCTTTCCATTACTGGCAAGAAACTTCCTGCCAAGTTTTTCTGATATGTCCTTTCCCTATTCTATTCCTAGAACAACTGACTGGAAAACCTCTTTGGAGACCTAACCAAACCCAATCATGGAACAGATGAGGTGCCTAAAGGCTCTTGGGATGAAACACTCTATTAGGTTCAATTGTATGAAATGGCCAATATTTGGCCCTTTTTAAGCCATAAAAAGGACAATTTTATATGGTTCAACCTACTTCCACCAAGTAACTTTTGGAAAGGTTTAGAATCGCTAACTATAAGCTCTCAGAAACAGTTATAAACCAATGCTTCAGCTAAATGTGACCTCAAGGCACCAAGTCCATGAGTTGTTCATCCTATGGGATCATTTAAAAGAGACCATACACTGAGCCATAAAAGTCATGTCAGTAGATACTAAAAGTTTGGAATCTTATATAGTCCAGTCTCTGACCATAACAGAATTAAATTAGAAATCAACAACATATCTTTTAAAAGTTCCAACAACTTACTTTCATTTTTTAATTTTTATTTTTAAAATATGGAACACTTCACAACTTTGCGTGTCATCCTTCCACAGGGGCCATGCTAATCTTTTCCGTATCGTTCCAATATTTAGCACATGTGCTGCCAAAGTGAGCACCCAACAACTTACTTTTATAAGAACCCATGGGTCACAAGATAAATCACAAAAAAATGGGGAAATATTTTGAACTGACTGAAAATGAAAATACCAAAATTTGTAGGATGCAGTTAAAGTAGTACCTAGAGGAGAATTTATACCTTTAGAGGCTATGTGAGAAAATCAGAAAGGTCTGAAATCAATGATCTGAGTCCCTACTTTAGGAAGATAGAAAAGGAAGAACAAATTAAAGCCAAACCAAGTAGAAAGAAGGAAATAAAGAGGACAAATCAATAAAATCGAAGAGAGACAAGAAATTGGGGGGAAAAAAAGAAAATCAAAAGCCAGTTCACTAGAATGATACATACAATGGATAAGAGGTTAGCTACACTGATTAAGAATACATAAATGATTAATATCATGAATCAAAGAGAGGACACCACCTCAGAGTCCAGACATTGAAAGAATCATACAGGAATTCTACAAAAACTTCATAAACTTGACAGCTTGGATTAGCACTCGGTAGAATCCCTGTGGGCCAAACCCAGCTTGTTACCCATTTTTATACTTTTATCAGATCAAGCCACACACATTCATTTATGTATCGTGTCTGGCTGCTTCCACATGGTAACAACAGGCTTGAGTAGTTGCATCTAAGACCACATGGTCTACAGAGCCTAAAATACCAGCTGACCCTTTACAGAAAAGTTTACTGATTTTTAGATTAGGTGAAAGAGACGAAATTCTTGAAGCACACAAATACGAAAACTGATTCAAGAAGAAACAGGAAAATCTGATTACCCCTGTATCTATTAAAGGTTACAAACATTCCCAGGAAGAACTCCAGGTCCAGATGGCTTTTCTGATTAATTCTATCAAACAGTTAAGAAGGCACTACCAATCTCACATAAACTCTTGCCAAAAACTAGGGAGGAGGGAGCATGTCCCCACTCATTCTGTGAGGCCAGTATTATCCCATTACCAAAATCAGAGACAGGCATTATAAGTAAAGAGAACTATGAAGAAACCAGCCTTTTCTAAAAACTAGCACTGAGCTGACCCATCACATTTTGATGGACAGTTAAAAACAAACAAACAAACAGAAAAAATCCTAGTACATACCAATGTCTGAAGAATGAGAGAAAACAGCCTAGAAACAACATATCATTGTACCTGAGCCTGCATTCTCTCACGGCAGATGGAAACACAAACATCTCAAATTCCTGTGACAGAGGGGAAACCCCGGCTTATTTACCTCCAACAGCAGCTGCAGTAAAAAAGACGTACGGCCCCTTGACCTCAACTCCATTCTGACCTGCAACACAGGATAGAGCTTTGACCATGTCTTCCACGTTCTAAGCTGGGTCACAGAGCAAATCCCTGGCAACACGGCAGTCATGCCGCAGGTAAGTCCTTCCAAGTCTCGGCTAGACTAAGGTTTTCACAAAAAGAAACCCTGTGGTACCAACTTCATACACTGTCCCCAAGCTCTCGGGCCCCGGGACAGCCATGGCCGCATGCACCCGCGGTGGGCTGCTGGGCCTGACAACTCCGGTGGGAAGGGGCTGGCTCAGGCAGTGACTGACTGAGTCAGCAACCAAATGCTTTGGCTTCTGCGACTGGACCTGATTCCTTCAACACCTGAGCATCTGCAGAGTGCTACTGAAATGGGAGCCCACAGCCAGCACCCTCTGAAGCTAAGAGGGGCTCCCTATGGAGAACGTCAGTGTGCGTCCATCTTACTTGAGGGGCAGAGAGTTCTCCAATTCTCTGCGCTATACTGAGTCTCTCCACCTTCAGTGTGTTGCCCAAGAAAGGACTCTACAAAGAGACAGGTGCCTGACATGCGGAGGCTCCTGGATCTGTGCATCCATGATCAACAGAAGTGTGGTATGGCTTTCCCAAGGATCAGCCCAGACAAGCAGGATTAACTGCAGGGGCCTCCAGGTGAAGCCCTTTCCCACACAGACAAATATGAGGCATGAGATGGCTTTGTGTCACGACCTGAAATGTACTTGTTTATGTCCTCCCTTCCCCAGCTGCTCGGACGCTCCCTGAGGGCAGGGACCTCTCCTCTGTTAGGCTCTACCGTATCACTGTGACTGGGCACAAGGTGGGCACCTGATAAATATTTGCTAAAGGATGGTAGTGAATGACCATCAATTCCCGTGTGGAAGGCTGATCCCCTGTCTGTGTGCGATTAGAAACTTTATGAAGCTGCCTTGCCCGAGTGAAGTTCGGGCTTTGCAGATAACCTAGCAGAGATGGCTCTTAAAGTCGCGCGTGTTCACTGGAGGAGCCGGGCAACTCACAGCTGGCGTATGAGCGGCTGTCGTCCTCACACATTTTGTGCAGCTGCTGATATTCCTCCTGAGCCAGCTCGAACCGCTGCTGCTTAATCTGGTAGATTTCTTTCTTGGCATTGAGAGCCTCCTGGGCTACAATTAAGTACTCCTTCAGCATCCGTTCCTGCTCTCGTCTCCATTGTTCTCTGGGGTCCTCAATCTGGGTAAGCTCTGAAATGAAAAGGGTAAGGACATAAGTGACTTCAAGTAAAATCTTTAGGTTGACCAATAATTGTGCAGTTATGTGACTGGTCGATATGAAAATTAATTAACTACCAGGATGTTCATTATGGAAGCGTCTGCATAAGGAACCTTCCCAAAGTGTGGATCATCTTCTATTTACATACCTGCCGCTGAGAGGAGACCAAGGCTCTGTAGATATGCAACAGTTCCTTGAAGGGGAAGACAACATCAGACAGTTGTTCACACAGTCAGTAAACGTGGGTGGACACGAACCCAAAGGAACTCGTCACTGTCAAACTAAGAGATGCATCCAACCTTCTTCTCCCTGACTTGTCCAACCTGGATACTGTCAGCTCTGCTGTCCCTGTGACTGGCTTGCTCCCTCCCCTTCCCCCCATGCCAGACCACGTCCTTCTGCCTTCTTTGTGAACTTCCTCATCTCCTCCCGCCCATAAATCCGCCCCGCTTTCCACTCTGGCTTTCTCACTCTACCAGCTCCCGGAAGGGCTCATGCTTACCTCTGGCTCCAACCTCTCCTGAGCCCCATCCTTTCCTTCCAACTCCCTTCTAGCTACATCTCCACCTGGAAGGACGCACAGTAACTGAGTCAATCATCCAAAGTTGGACTCATTCTCACACAGCGCCTTTTCACTACCTAAACCGAAACCAAACCACAGCAGGTGGCCCAGCGCCTGCTGCTGTCGCTTGCCCTCCCGAAGGGAGCTGCACTACTGGGATCTGCCCACTCAGCCAACCTGGGACCCCACCTCAGAGGACTCCTACCCCTTGCCCTCACCCAGAATATTTGGTGGGGCATCCAGAATTGGTGATTCCTGCCCCTACCTATAACAATGACTGACGACATGCCTTCTCTCCATCTCCCCTTAATTCAATAAGACCCTCACAATCTCTCTCCAGAAACACCCAGGCTTCCTGACTCATCCCACCGAGAGCCACCCTCAGTGTGCTCACCAAAGTTACCTTCCCAACTCTGCCTGCAATTCTTTAACACGTGAACCTCTCTTAAAGCACAAAGTCCAATATCCTCCACGTGATGAGTCCTGAAACTAACTTGCCAGCTTTATTTCAAGTTTCTGCCCTTTTCCCCAGAGACATCCTCTACACAGACTAAATTTTCCACAGTCCCCATCTTTGGAAACGCTTATCCATGCATTTACGTCACTTCTGTCCTCCTCTGCCCACCAGAAAACCATGTCATTGTCTAAGTCCCTTTACAAAGGCACCTCTTCTCTGAAGCCTTCTCTGCCCTGCCAAGCACACATATCTCTGTGCAATGGCTAGGACTGCTGCTCTGACCACTCGCCGCATAACTGTTTTTGTATTTCTTTATTTCCCATCTAAACTCCAAGCCCCTAGAAGCAGGCGCACAGCCCCAGTCATCTTTATATTCTCAGGGCCCTTCGTCAGTCTGAGACTCAGAAGGCAGTCTATGATTGTGGACCGCAGGCTCACTGAGTGTGGAGCAGAAGGGGCCATCTGCTCCGTACAGAGGACTACAGTCCTGAGATCAGATCCTTACATCGAGGAATGGAGTGATCAAATGGGCAAGACACCCAGACTCGGGAAGGCTCCTTTCCTTCATGGCAATCAAATTCCTAGTGGAGATTTCCACAGAAGCGCCACCCTAAATGCAGTAAGAAACGGAAAGTGGCGTCCTGCTCCCAACACTGAGACCGCAGGCTGCAGTGGCTCCGTTACAATGATGCCATATTGGTCATTATATACAGGCTGCCTGCAGCCAAAACAAAATTAAGGAGAGTTCCTAGAAGGAAAATGCTAATAAAATTCCCCACCCAAATCCTAAATAAACCTGCAAAATATTTTTCTCCAAGTGCACTTGAGTACACTACTGCAACAGCCCAAACGTGGAAAAATTAGGGAATCTCACCAAATGATGAGTGGATGAATAAAATGTGGTCTACCTATGCAGTGGGGTGTCATTCAGCCATAAGAAGGAATAAACTATTGATATCCTACAACATGGATGGACCTCGAGGATCTCACGCTAAGTGAGAGAAGTCAGACCCAAAAGACTACATGTTGTAGGATCCATTTGGATGAAATGTCCAGAAGAGGCAAACCCAGAGAGACATATAGGAGATTCGGGGTTGCGTGGGACAGGAGACTGGCGGGAGGAATGGGGAGTGACGGCTAAGGGGTACAGGGTTGTACCTGGGGTGATGAAATGTTCTGGAACTAGCCAGAGGTGGTGGTTGAAGAACACTGTGAATGCACCAAACGCCACCCAACTGTAATGCGTTTAAACGGTTAATTGCACGTTCTGTGCATTTCACCTCAAAATGATTTAAAAAATGTAAATTTTACGTCATCTTCACCACACACACACACACACACACACACACACACACACACACACGAGCGCTTGCTAGGATGTTTCAAGTAAGTTCTTCCTTTTAAACCCCGTCCCAGCAACAACCCCTACTATCCCTCTTCACACTGCTACCCCAGGGCCCCTCCTGGAAGGCCTCTCCAGGCCTTAAAAGCTCACATGGGGAAATAAACAGAAATAACAAACACTGACCTAGCCCTAGCGTTCAGGTTTAGTGGGCTTGGGCCTGGGCGTGGGCAGAGTCACAGTGGTGTAACCGCCCGGATGTCTCTGATGCTGTTCAGCCAGGAGACTTGCCTCGGCCGACAGGCTCTGTTCACACTCTGGTCAGCACACCCAAGGGTCTTGGGAACCTTGAAGGTGATCAACCCAGGGCCCCTCTGGTCCCTCACTCCACTGTCAACCTGCACAGTTCCAACTTAACATGTGACCCCTCAGGTTCTGTGCCCTTAAAGAGCTTTAAGGATGTGCTATCAAGAGCTGGGTTCTTGGGAGCAAGGCTCGGGAGGGGCAGGGCCCTGGAGCTGGTACCTTCCCCCTCCACCCTCCATGGTGCTGGGTCATCCCAGGTAGACTCAAGGTGGCTGAAAGAAAGCCCTTGGTGATTACTCAGGTTGGGGGTTCATGGTCATGTCTAGCGTGTCACGTCAAATCCTTGAAGGTAAAGACTAGGTCTCACTTCCCTGTGTCCCCAGGGCCTCAAGAGTGGCCGGCACGGAGAGGTCCCTTGCTGTGACTCAGTGAGAAAGGAACACCCGCAGCAAAGAAGGGGGCCCACCGCAGCAAAGAAGGGGGCCCCAGAGGGATGAGCGAGCTGGGTTACAAGAGACGAGCCAGAACGGGTCCTAGGCCTCAGTGGCGGGCAGGCAGGCTTTCCAGAAAGGTCATGTCAGTGAATGCCTGTGCTGTTCAGTCATACTACCTGGGCCCAGAGAGGCCAAAGCCTGGTGAGGAGGCCCTGGTGCCCCTGTGCCCAGCAGCCCTCACCTGCCGGAGTGACCACCCTGCAGCTGGGAAGGTGGCCCAGATGGCCCAGACACCTGGACACACGCAAACAAGGGCACCAGCTCAGCCAGGCCGGGGGGGGGCTGCCCCAGATGGAGCCTCATGGAGCACTGCACCCTGTCCACTGTGCAGTGGGTCCGCCTAGAAGCCCTTGTGCCACGTGGATAACCGCCTGGGAGGGCGGCAGGACCGAGGCAGTACTCACCCTGCTGCCCAGTCTGTGGGTAGGAGCTGCAATCAAGGGGAAGCCGAGTGTATTGATCGGAAACCCCACAGGCCTGGACAGAGACAGGAAGGCTCGTCATGTAGGTTCCTTAATGCTGAACTGAGGAGCCGGCCGGCCAGTGACAATGTGGGAGTCAGTCCTAAAAGCACCAGCCCGGCCCGATCACACTATGGGGACACGAGGAGCCATGAGACCGAGTGAGGGAGGAGCTTCACACTCACACGGCGTACACTGTGCATCCTCCCAGCCTCTCCCACACTTAATAACTCCAAGGACAGAAAGCACACTAAGGGAAACTTCATGTCCCCAGTAGTAATGACAATGGCAGGAACACTGAGGGCAGCTAGAACAAAAATGGGAGAGAGAGAAAATGTGGATCTGAGAGAGGAATGGGTCCCCAGCGGTACCCGATGGAGGAAGGCTGATGAGGAGGCAGAAGAAAGCCAGGAGTGGGGTGGAGAAGAGATCTAGAACCAAAGGCAGCATGTGAATCTCAGCACCACTGGGGCAGCTCAGCCTCTGTGGGGCGCCCTGTGAGCAGCATCTCTGGCTTCCACCCACCAGATGCCAGGAGCACCTCTCTCAGCTGTGACCATCGAAAATGCCTCCAGACATTACCAAGTGTCCCTGGGAGGCAATACCAGCCCTGGGTGAGAATCACTGCTCTCAACAACTCCACAAAGAAGGCCGGCATGGTCAAGGACCATTTATTTTAGCTGTAGTCTTTGCATTAGTTTCTCCCTTCACAAAGCTCAAATCAAATCAAATCACATGCATAAGACAAAATGAAGTTAAGGCAACCACTTGGGCATTTACTGTTCCAAGAACTTGTTAAGTTGCATTTTGCAAAAACCAGTCTTCTCATTTTGAGAGATGTTTCTATTAGTAGACTGCCTGGAAAATTTATTCTTTCAATTAGGTATTAAAACTCTCCATTCAACATATTCCATGCAGTCCTGAGCAACACACAAGCCAGGTAGCTACATACCTGCTCAGCTAATGGATACTTCAGATGACATTTATAAAATCCAGTTCAATGCTGCTTTGGAGAGTAACAATTGTTTCATCTACAGAAAGAGTTCCTAGCATCTTTGAGATCAACATGAAAACTCATTCATATATAATAACTCAAGGTGGCACTCTACTTACTATTTATGTGGTCCATGTAATAAATTCCAATTTGTTTATCATATACAGTTTCCCATCCTAAAGGAAGTTCATCCCCAACACAATCGGCAAAGGTCAATGGCTTTGTTATCCTGCAAAATAAAATTATGAAAGCAAATTTGAAAGTCAGGTCAATTTCATGTAAGTTTGCTGAATCAATTCTAGAATTTGATTTTAACACAAAAATCATATATTATCTACTTGCTTTTGCTCCAACTAATTGGTTGGAAAATTAGTTCACTGGCTTTGCCTAAGTAATATCAGTACACTCACAGTTTTTTTTTTTACTATCTCAAAATACAGATTTAAATGCCAGCGAAAACAGATATTGACAGTTACAAAACAGGTAAAACAAGCATCTTCTTCCAAGCGGTATGTTTAATGAGGTGACGACAATGGAATGTGGCTCTGCCACAACAATAGGCGAGCACCTCTGTTTTGTTCTCATTCCCTGCCAAATGTTCCCCCCTCACAACTTTCGGTTTCTGTGCATTATACCCTACTCTATCTAAAATGTATTTGGTAAGTTTCATCTACCAATGGTCAGAAGTTAAGGAGTTAAACATTAACCATGGACCAAATGCAAAAAGCCAAACAAGCACGGGAACAATACAAGGGGACGCCTACTAAACACTGCCCTGTATTCCTCATGCAGTGGGAATCAGAAATTGCAAAGGGTCCTCTTTGTTTTCTGGAGAAAAACAACAAAAGCACATTGTCTACAGATCTCTCTCCTTTAAGTCCATCTGATCAAGGACCCTTGGCTTGACACAGATAGATAAAGGAGAGGTTTTCCAGATAGGTTTCTTTAAGGAGAGCCTCCCCTCTCCTAGACGTCATGATCACACTGACTGACAAGACAGCTGTCATAAAACAGGCCGCACCAATTATTGTCTGAGTCTGGGCAGCTATCTATTCGGTTCTCTTTATAAACGCACACTGACTGGTATGCATGGGAATCTGATAACCCAAATTTCACTAACTCAATCTTCCCACATCTCTGTTCAAGTCCCTGGCTCCAGGAAAGTAAGATACCATAACCGCAGCCAAACCCGACAAGACCAGTATGAATTTCCAACACGTTATTTCCCCAAACTGGTTCGACAAGACTCTGTCTCTCCAAGTAGCATTCAGAAACTGACAAACACCATTATGACAGCACTGATTGAACTCGTCTTCATTTTAAACGTATGGTTTTAAGAAGTGCCAGTCAGTGTCAAAACAGAAATACATATGTAGAAGGTAAAATACACCATGGAAATCCTCTCACATACGATGCACTCAAAACCCACAACATCACAAGATGAGCCTACTGTGTACTGTCTGTCCGTCCCCAAAACACCAACCACAGCACAATCCCTTTACAGGTCAGTAATGGTGTGGTAGTGGCATGGTTCCAAGTCACACAGGTAACAGCAGGGTGTTGTGCACGATTCAAGTCCTAAACAGGATCACACCACAACAAAAACAATGCTACTTTAAGAGAAACTGAGTCCTGAGCACATCTCTGCTATTCCAGACTCCCGTAAAGCCTACAGAAAAATGCCCAAGCACAGGCGCATTCTAAGCATGTTTACATATGTGATCTCATTTAATCAACAAATACTGGTGGGAAGACAGAACTGACAGCACTGCTGAGCTCAATTCACTTACTTTACAATTCAGAACTATTCTAAAACTATTGCAAGTTCAGAGTTTTCCATTTCCTATCCAATAAACACTGCAAGTAATTAAAATAACACTTCCACACTCTTTGTTCTAAAAATAAACAGATACACTATTATTTTGGTGAATTTTATTTTGGCTCGATACAGAATCCATGAATCTCTGATTTCACTTCCTCTCTAAAGAAAGCCTGGATTTTGCACAATCATCCACAGACTCAGTACTTCGAAGCCAGCTGATGAGAAGTCACGCTTCTCGGGGCCCAGCTCACACCAAGAGCAAGAAGTTACCAAGTCCTTGCCGTGGATCTCCTCGGGCCGTGGGGCTCACACTTTGAGCCTGCTAACTCACTTGATGGCAGTGTGAACGGGCTCAACGATACAGATGTCCAGCTCCCAAAAGACAGAAGTAGTAAACTAGAAGGCAAGGACAGGGATCCCTCGGGCAGGAAGAACGCAGCAGGGAGAAGCACATAAACCCACTCACCGCTTTCACCCACTACACCGTGAGACACGCTCACGTGCAGCAGGACACCCATGGCGGCCCGCTCCTAAGCGGCTCCCACTGCGTCCTGCCTCCCGCTGTTCACATCCTCACATGCCCCACCCCCCCAAAGAGGGCTCTGCTGTGCAAGCGACAGGGTATTGTGGAAATGACAGTATGTGGCCTCCGGGGTGAAGTCATATAAGACATCATACTTCCACCTTATTTTCTTGGATCGCCAGCTTTGGGGGAAACCAGCAGCCATGTGATGAGACTACTCAAGCAGCCCAATGGAGAGACCCACATAAGGAAGAATGTGGTCTCTGGCCGACAGCCAGCGCCAATCTCCCAGTCATAGGAATTAATCACCTTGGAAGTGGACCCACCAGCCCCAGTCAAACCTTCAGATGGCTGCATCTTGACCACAATACCCCCATGAGACCCCAAGTAAGGCCCACCAGCCAAACTGCTCCTGCACCACAGAAACTGTGGGACTGAACGCACACTGTCATTTGAAGCCACTAAGTTTCAGGGTAATTTGTGTGAGGCAGCAATAGATAACTAATAAAATATCTGAGTCCTAACGCCCCTTCCTAGTTCATCAGATGCGGAAGTGGACATTTGTAGTGATGGCCCAGGCTACCCACTATTAGGAAGCAGTGAGATGTAAAGGAGGCCTTTTGTCTTTTTCCAGAACATTAAAATAGACACATATGCTGCTCTTCTGACTTGTCTACCTATTTATCAGGATGACACACCTGCCAGACTTCCAGACAGGTGTCACTTCAGTGCACAAGGGCAAATTTTGGCATGATTTTCAATAACAGCATGGAGAATGTCTAAATTTATTATCCTCATTATCATTCCAAAGTATTTATGAGACAAAGACTTCGTGGTTTTCTGTTGTCCAGCACATGCCACCATGAATATTCACAACTGTACCAGTATCAAAATGATGATTTTTCTCCCAAGAAAGGTGCTGGTGGGGAACATGACTTCAGTAATGGGTAAATCACTTCAGATGAGTTACCCGGTTTCAGAATCTATTTGAGCCCACTGCTACAATGAGGAGAGCTGAATAAATCTTGGCTCCCTTTTATTGTCAGAAGGGCAGTATCTGGGAGTCTGGAACAGTAGAGTTCTTTTGGTGTTAGCTTTTCAGCAAGGAGTGCTATCTGGATGTTGCTGGCTAAAAAGCCTGATTCCTGCATGGCAGGGTGAAGCCTGGAGCCACCCAGGAGAGATCTCAGACTTGGCTGGGACAATCAGCACCCTCAGCAAGCTGGTGGACTTTGTCCTGGACAATCTTGTGACCCCTCATCCTGCCAATGGTCATCCCTCCAACTGCGAGGAGACGCTGACGTCCAATGTCTCTTCCTCAAGCACAGTGGTCTCTACAAAAGTGCGCAGCATTGAGTTGGCCAGGGGAAAGCGCCAGACTGGTGTTCCCATGCCCCTCAAGGCAAGCCCAAGGTCCCGCCTTCACCCATAGGTATGCCAGTCCAGGTTCTTGAGTTCTCATCTCCCCAAAAACTTGATGCTAGATCTTCCCCACTAACTCCTTCCCACAGTCACCACACACAGACTCCAGGGCATTTTTGTCTCTACTACACACAGTTTAGGAAACATACCTCAATAGGAGACAGATGGCCATTCACAGAACCACTCAAATACAACCATTATTCCTATTTTGGTGTGTTTTCCTCATCTTTTTTCTGTGTTCCCTTTGTTTTTTTCTGACATAGTCATGATCATACAGTATACACAATTTTCTTTTCTGCCTTTTCCACTTAATTTTGTAACTTATTAATTTATACCTTGAGTCTCTCCAAAAATTACTGGAGATGGTCTAACACTATAGCCTAAGTATTCCATCCTCCTTGTTATAAATTATTTGTAAACATCACCTGGAATAGGTGAATTAAGCTCCTTGTGAACAATTACCCTGTCTCAACTGTCTCTGACCCCCCTCAGCACCTGGTTTAAGAATAAATAACCTGTATTTCCATAAACAGTTTGCTAAGGGGATCAGTATAATTTCCCTAAGCCCTCCCCTACTATTGACAGCTACATTATTTCCTAACTTCTACCAGTATAAATACTCACGAGAGCTGCTCTGGGAAACAGTTCGGTAATTTCTCAAATACTTGAACAGAGTTTCCATATGAGCCAGTAACTGTACCCCCAAGAGAAATGAAAACATATGTCCACACCAAAGAATGTCCACAGCAGAGTTATTCACAATAGCCAGAAGATGAATACAACTAAGAGCCACCAATTGATGAAAGGGTAAATAAAGCATACAATGGAATATTATTTGACCATAAAAAAACCATTAAGTACTGACACCCGCTACAATATGAATGGACGTTGAAGTCACTGCGCTAGGTGAAAGAAGCCAGACACAAAAGGTTACATGTTATATGGGTCCGTCTATAAGAAACATCCAGAATAGGCAACTCACAGAGACAGAAGGTAGATCAGTGGTTGTTAGGGGTTGGAGATAAAGATGGAATGGGGAGTGACTGCTAGTAGGTACGGGGCTTCCTTTAGGGGTGATAAAAATGTTCTGGAATTAACTAGTGCTTGATGGTTGTGCAACTGTAATTATATTAAAAACTAGTAAACTGTACTCTTCAAATGGTGACTTTTATGTTATATGTGACATATCTCAATTTTTAAAACTATGATAAAAGGAACGTCTCTGTGAATAAAGCTCATAGTCTGTATTTACAATTACTTTCTTTGAAAGACTCCCAGAAGTAAATTTACAAGGTTGAAGGATATGATGCTCTTTTCTCCTTATCTTAAATTCAATGCAAAAAATTCAGACAGTACAGTATAAAGAACAGGAAATAAAATCATCTATAATCCAGAAGTCCTGGATTCATGTTTTAGCTTATTTTCCTACATTTTTCCCACAGCTGATATCATACCAGATACA